GTGTGTGTGTGTGTGTGTGTGTGTGTGTGTGTGTGTGTGTGTGTGTTTCAAAACCCCTTCACTTCTTGTATATTGTGACCAGATCGCTCGGCTTAGAATCCGAAAACCTGGGTTCAGATTCTGCTTTTAGCCCTCACTAGCTGTGTGACCCTGGGAGCTGTTTTGTTCATCTGTAAAATAGGGCTTAGAGTCCTACCGCGTTGTTGCAGACCTCTCTGGGCCTCAGTTTCCTCATCCCTGAAATAAGGGAGTCGTGGTTCCATGGCCTCTCCCGTCTCTGCCAATGTGAGAGCGTCTGGAAGGTTCTTTGCAGACATTGGTGCACTCTGGGAATGTCAGTTAAAAAACCCAAACAGACTCATTAGTTCTCAAGATGGGCTTTCCTTAGCTCTCACCCCTCCTACATGCATTACCTTGGGATGTTCCTGTGGGCCTCAGTGTTGGCATTTGGGCCTTCTAGCAGCCCCTGGAGGTTGTGGCCCTGGGTGTTGTCTCCATCTTACAGATAAGGAAACTGAGCCTCAGAAAGGAGATAGCTCACCCATGATGACCCAGTTAGTAAATGTAAGAGGCAGGATTAGAACTCAGGCCAGGCCCCCCGACTCCAAGCCTGCCTCCCTAAAGTGCCTCTCTCTGTTAGTTCTCTCTGCTGAACTCTTATCCTGTTCCCTGACTATAAGCTCCATGAGGACAGGGGAGGTGTCTGCCCTAACGTCGGCCTCCCTTTCCCCTCCATGCCTGCTGCCCAGCGCACAGTTCTGTGCCCACCTGGAACTCAGTAAAATATTTAATAAACGAAAAGACTAAAACTTGGTGAGGTCAGGGTGCATGCTTGTGGGTGGATTGATAACCTGCTGTGTGCCAGGCACTGGGGATACACACGCGTGCACACACACATGTATTCTCACACTCCAACACAAATTCACCGTCTCATACACACTCATACATGCTCTCTCACTCACGCACACACTCAGACACACATACTCTTATACACACTCACATACACATATTTTTACACACAAACTCTATCAAACAAACTCACCCTCTCATACACTCTCTCACACACACATTGTCACACACACTCTAACACAAACTCACATGCTCATACACACTCATACATGCTGTCTCATGCACACACACACTCGGACACACATACACACATACACATATTTTTGCACACTGTCACACAAAATCACCCTCTCATGTACACTCTCTCTCACACATACACACACACACATTCTCACACACACTCTAACACAAGCTCATACTTTCATATACACTCATACATGCTCTTTCACTCACGCACACACACACTCAGACACACACACTCACATACATATATTCTTTTACACACACATTCTGTCACACAAACTCACCCTCTTATATATTCTGTCTCACACACACACACACACACACACACATCCCTTTCTCTTCCATGCCCGATCAGACAAGCAGGAGCCCCAGGGGGTCTCTGCCAGATGAGTGGGGGCTCTGTGGTGGGTCTGGGTGGGAGGTAGGGGTGTTGGCGCTTTGGGCATCTTTAAAGTCTGCTTTTCCCGTGTTGCCCATTTCTAAGCTGTTCACCGTGGGGTTAAAACTCTGTGAAAACAGCTGGTGCTCAGCGCTGGAGCATGGGCTCTCCAGAGGACTCAGGGAGGTCCAGGGTGCTTACAGCCGGCTGGGATTTGGGTAGAGGCGAGACCTAGGTGCCTGGAGGACAGATAACAACTCTGCTGCCCGGGAGTGCTGGCCTCAGTACACAAGCTTTGGTGAGAGGTGTCTGTGCCAAGGCTGCCAGCCGGCAAACATCCAGTGAATGTGTCTCCCTTTGATAGGAAAACGGCTCTCGGTGCCCCTGGCTCCCTTTCCATCAGCATCTGCTTAGACTCTCAGTGTGCCATGGTCAGAAAGAACCGAGCGGGACCTGGGTTTGAATCCTACCTCAGATGCTTGTTAGCCCCTGAAGATGTGGCCTCAGTTTTCTCATCTGTAAAATGAGTTCATCATCCTCATGAGTGTGTCATTCGGAGAGGGCTTTGCACACCTCAGAGCTCTGCTTGCCTGTCCTCGGGCCTGTCAGCCTCAGTTTATTCTTCTGTAAAATGGGTCTAAGAAAATTGGCACTATGAACCTCACAGGGTGCTTGTAAACTTTTAAGATCCCTAAGAAATGTGGGTTGTTGTGATGGAGAGGGTGGAGCTGGTCTATCCATATCCAGCTCAATGAGTAAACTGCAGATTATGATAAGAAAGCCCGTGCTAGGCCTCTGCCTTTGGGTGTGCCCTGGCCTTGTAGACCCCACCCATGTTGAGAAATGAGGCTTGACCTGACCCAGGTGGGAGCTGCCTCAGAGAGGCCCATGTGGACTTTGACAGAAGGAAAACCTTGTGATCAGTGAGTTATCCCAGAATGCCATTGGGTCCCAAGGAGGTAGTGAGCTCCCCTCAGCTGGGGTGGGGTGGTGGCAGTGTGACAGTGGGGAGACCGGAGAGGACCCACTGGCAGGGAGCAGAGACTTGGTGCTGAAGAGACCTTGGCAGCCTGCCATCTGTTCCTCCCATTTTACAGATGGGGATGAGGAAGGGGGAGGAGCTGGGCAGGGTCACATGGGCAGTGAGGGCCAAAGTCGGAATTTGAATCCAGCCCTGGATCCCAGACCCCGACTTCTTTTCTCTGTTATCCCGTGTGTGCCTCAGGGGTCTTTCCACCTCTGACATTCAGGGACTTAATCCACCCAGGAGCGGGGAGGTTGATGTAATTACCTGAAGATAAGAGGTAATGAGGGGTGACCATCCTAATGAATGCAGGTGAGTTTGCTGCTGCCATCCCCTCCTCCTGGTTCTTGTAGCATCCCCAAGAGGCAGTGTCTTGGCTATCAACCAACCCATTTTACGGATGAGGACCGAGACACAGAAGGGAAGCAAATGAAAGAACAGAAAGTGTTTTGCAAATGTAAAAACACTGTGTAAATGGTAGTTGTATTATTATTATTTACACTGCGTTGGGCTATTGAGGAGGTAAGATCTGAAGAGCAGAGGCCAGACAAGGAGGCATCCGTAAATGTCAGCCTTTGAACCCCTCCAGCACCAGCCTGGCCAAGCTCTGTTCGAGTGGAGGTCAAAGGCAGAGGATGCCGGCTGCCCCGGGCCCAGCAGGCGCCTGGGAACGACATGGGGAGGGGCTCCGGGGTCCTCATGATGGCTTCCGGCCGTTGTCCTTCCCACAGAGGCCTGAGGTTCGTGCAGGTGCTGCTGCAGAGCATCTGTGACGGGGAGCGGGACGAGAGCCGGCCCAACCTTATCAGGGTCAACGTCACCAAAGCCTACGAGATGGCGCTGAAGAAGTACCACGGCTGGCTGGTGCAGAAGATCTTCCAGGTGAGGGCCCTCGTCCAGCCGGGGAATGTCGGGAGGTCACAGAGCCTCCTCGTGCCTCAGTTTCTTCATCTGTAAGAGGAGGGGGTTGGATTCTGCCTCTGAGGCCGCTTCCAGCTCTAGGCCTGTGATGGTGTGACCTCGTCACTGATGAGTTTGAAACCTCCTCCGCCTTCGAATCCCCCCCAGTTCTTGCCTGTGTGTTTCCATCAATCCTCCATAGGGTCAAGTCTTTGCAGCTGGAGGGGAGCTTGTCCATGTGTGGAATGCTTCCCCTCCTCATCCTAGCGCTCCTCCCCCCAAGCCTTTCCCATCCCCCTTAATGCCAGCACCTTTCATCTGATGATTATCTCTCTTATTTTTTTTTTGGCTAGGCAATGGGATTAAGGGACTGGCCCAGGGTCACACAGCCAGTAAGTGTTATGTGTCTGAGGCCGGATTTGAACTCAGGTCCTCCTGACTCCAGGGCCGGTGCTCTATCCACTGAGCCACCTAGCTGCCCTATTTTCATTCTTTTTTTTTTTTCCTGATGGTTATCTCCAGTCAATCCCTCATCCCTCTTGTTTGCCCTGTGTGTGTGTCTTCCCTATCAGACGGGGAGCTCCTCGAGAGTGGGGACTGGTTTTTGTCTTTCTTCGTGTCCCCAGTGCTTAGTGTAGTGCCTAGCATGCAGTACGTGCTCGATAAATGCTGGTTGACTTGAATTGGAAGAGACCTCGGAGGCCGTCTGGTTCAGTCCCTGTCTTTTACAGATGAGGAAACTGAGACCCCCCCCCAGAGGAATGATAGGCCACAGATCTGGAGCAGGAAGGGCTCATAGAGGCTGCCAGGTGTCAAGGCGCAGAGGAGTTCCTGCATGTGCCCGGGGCCGGCTGGCTTCTGAGTGTCTGGGAGGCTTGTGAGCCCGGCCCAGGGCTTCTTGGCTCGTCTAACGGAGGATGGCGGCCATCGGGGAGAACCGTGGGGAGGGGCAGGAGGGTCCACCCTGGGCAGCCTGTGTCAGTCAGTAGTATTACTGAGAATGATGAAAGCGCGCTGCACTTCTCACCAGGGAGCAGGAAGAGGTGATCACAGGAGTGAAAATGAAGCAGCAGAACAGACCTCACAGCCACCCCTGGAGCATCGCCCTCTCTCCCTCATCCGTGGTCCTGATGGCCTGGGTCTGGCTGTGCCTCCCCCTTCGGCCCAGAACCTTCCCCAGCTCCCTGTGGCTTACTTAGCCTCTTAAAGTTCGAGTGCCAATTCCCTGCCTGCCTTTTCAGGCTTAACCCAGACGCTGCCAGGGAGCCTCGCCCGATTCTCCCTGTCAGTAACGCTCCCATTCCCACCTCTCTGTTTGTACCTCTGACTTAACCTCGCCAAAGGACGTGGAATTAGAGTGTCGAGAGACGAGGTTGCTTAGTGCTGCCCTTGGAGCCAGGAAGGTCTGGGTTCAAGTTCCACCTTGCCCTGGGTGAGTCACCTCCTGTCTCAGTGTTCACTTGGTAGAAGGACTTTCCTTACCAGGAGTTCCCTGTACCTCTGAAGTCACAGGGCGGGTTACATAAAATCATAATAATTATACGCAGGCTTAAATAGTATCTGTGCTGGTGTGTGATGGCCTGATTAGCCTGTGTGGCCAGGGGATTATTCCTCCCCTATCCCCTAGGTCAGGGTGGGGAACCTGTGTCCTCAAGGCTTTGTGTGGCCTTCTAGGTCCTTGAATGTGGCCTGAGTCCAAGTTTTACAGAACAGATCCTTTTATTAAGGGGATTTGTTCTGTGAAGTTTGGATTCAGTCAAAGGGCTGCACTTGAGGACCTGAGGGCCACACGTGACCTTGAGGCCCCAGGTTCCCTACCCCTGATCCTAATCCAAAAAAAAAAAATCACTCTGGGAGGGAAAGACCTTCAGGGTTTCTGGCCAAAACAGAAACAAGTGCTGTTACGTTCGTTATGAGCCATTCAGGGCCCAAACAACCACCAAGGAGGAGAGCTAATGAAAAGGCTGGAGGTAGGAAAGGGGTGTTCTAAATCCCGGTAAGAGCAAGTAAGGCAGTTTGACCGAAACAGAGTCTCACATGAGACCTGCTGGTCAGACACAGCCCACAACCTCCCCAGTGCATCCTGAACCAGACTGAAGTGCAATTGGAAAATATTTAACAAAACAAATGAAAATACCTAAAGGGCCACATATGGCCTTGAGGCTGCAGGTTCCCTTCCCCTGCTAGGACAATGTTTTACAAAAATTAATTAATATTTGAATTAATGAAGCTCAAACTGTCAACTCACATTGAGCCAGGAGGCCACTAAGACCCTTTCATCCTTCTACATGAACTCTTGTCTGGTCCTGTGCCCTCCATCCTTCCTTGTGAGGTTGATTTTAAATAAAAAAACAAAACCCAGGAGTGTGCAGCATGGAGTAGTAGAAAGGGGATGCTTGGCACCAGGAGGCCCCAAGGTCAGACCCTGCAGATTTTAAAAATCACAGTACCGTATCAAACACACCGATGGTAAATAGTGTCTCAGGATCTCAGATTTGAGCTCAGAGGCATCTTAGATGTGATCTATCCAGCTCCATTCAGCAGATGAGCAAACAGGCCCAGAGGGCTTACCCTTCTGCACTGGTTTTCAGGTTCACCCTTTGAGCCTCATGTGCACCTTGTGGGAGAAGGCATACCATTTTACAGAAGAGGAAAGTGAGGCTTTGCTTAGTTGACTTGCCCCAAATCATACCAGTAATGACTTTGAGCTTTACTTTCCTTTTCCTGCCTGATAGAGATAATCCTTGTGTTTTTTTTTTTTTATTTGTTTGTTTGTTTTGAGGCAATAAGGGTTAAGTGACCTGGGATCACAAAGCTAGTAAGTGTCTAAGGCCGGATTTGAACTCGGGTACTCCTCATTCCAGGGCCGGTGCTCTATCCACTGTACCCCCTAACTGCCCTTTAGATGACCCTTGGATTCCAGGATTATAGTGTCTTCATGGGATCTCAGAGGTCATTAGTTCAATCCCCACATTTTACAGGTAAACTGAGGCCCAGAGAGGTCACACAGGTGATAAGTAGCATTCAGGGCCGCTGGCTCCCAACCCAGCTTTATTGCGCTGTGCTGGGATGATGCTTCCAGAGTAGTCTTATTTCTCAGAGAGGTGTCATTCCCTTCACTTTAGTTAAATAAACCACTCTGAGCTGGGCCCTGGAGGGCTGCGCAACCCCTGATGAGCATTTACATACTGTTGTCCCTTGATGTAAGTGGATGATTCCATAGACTTCTGTGTAAAGCGATTTTTAAGTGGGGAAATGAGGCAGGGAAGGAGGGAGGCAGGGGGCCAGTACGTGGTTCAAAGACACATGGGAGCCAGGGCCAGGGATATGGGGCCAGGCCAGAACTAAGAGGAAGACAGACACGTGGGGTCTGGACACAGACACTGACAGGAGAGGACGGGGGACAGACACATGGGACCCCACGCTTGACAGACGGAAGACAGATACTGGGGCTGGTGGGTGGAGTGGGGCAAAAGTCTCTACCAAGCCCCATCTCTCCCTGACCTCTCCCTGCCTGTTCTTCTGCTTTTACTTGGAGGGTTTTGTTTTGTTTTGTTTTTTAGGAGGGGGGAGGGTGCTAGGAGGCAGGAGGACAGAGACAGAGAGAGTGGGCACAGTACCGTATAGTAAAGTTAACAAAGGTAGTTTCTTGGAATGTGGATTTTTTTTTCAGAATTCTTTATGTAAAGTTAAGTTTGCCAAATGCAGATTTATGATAAATTGAGAACTGTCTGTATAGCCATTGAGAGCCTGGTCCTAGCCTCCAGCCAAAGCCTCCCTGTGCATGACATTTCTGTGATATCTATCTGTCTGTCTAGCCAATCACTTGTATCTATATGTATCTAATCATCACTGTATCTAATATCACTATGTAGTATGTGTGTGTATGTGTAGTTATAAATATGTGTACATATATATATGTATGTATGTATGTATGTATACAGATACAGATGTATACTTCTCTGTGACAGTATTATATCCTCCTCCACCCCCCAGTAGAATGTAAGCCCCATGAGGTCAGGGACTGTGTGATTTTGTTTTTAATGCCATGCTTACTAAATGCTTGGGGATTGATTGGGGGCATCACCACAATGCAAGGTGATGGTGCCTCTCAGCCATCCCAAGTGTATCTCTCTGCTGACCCCTTCATCCTTCTCTCTTATCCCCTCCCCTACCCCTCCAGGGAGCTCTGTACGCCGCCCCGTACAAGTCTGACTTCCTCAAGGCCCTCTCCAAAGGACAGGACGTCCCAGAAGACCAGTGCTTGGAGAAGGTCCGCCTGTTTCTGGTGAATTTCACGGCCACCATCGACATCATTTATGAAATGTACACGAAGATGAACGCAGAGCTCAATTACAAGGTGTAGCCGCGGCCCGGGGCTCCCCTGACTGGCGCCATCCCTGAGCCCCCCTATTCTCTAAAAGTACCCAAATCACTGTGAAATGAATTCAGAGACTGCTGTCTTTCAGCAACTTAGCAAACATCTCTGGAGTTTTAGGGGACAGCCTGTTTTTAAATATATATACATATATATTATATTAAATTATATATACAATTTTAAGAGGTTTTCTATACAAACAGAGCAATAAGATTTAACCATCCCATTTCCACTTTGCCTTAGAATTTCAGGAGGTCTAGACCGTCTTCATAAATACCTTTGAGCATGATCTAGCTGATTAACGTTTCTAATCAATCAAGTCCTAGGTATTTTTGTTTTATTTTATTATTATTATTTTGCAGAGTGTGTGACTCTGGGGAAACAATGTACAATTAGGGAGAAAATAAGCACGTAGAACTTGTGAGCTCACTTTTAAAAGTGAGGCACATGCTCCCTGGTCTTGCTGTGGCTTGTGTATTTTTAAATACGGTAATGAAATGTGATTTGAAATTGTGTGGCATTTTTTAAAAAAGTGTGTTATGTCCCTCTTCCTGGCATCTTCTGCTGCTGTCCTTCTGACTTCAGGCCAGATGTTTTTAAACCTCCAGCAAAACCCAGAAGCCTCTGACTCGAACCCAGGGACGCTCACTTTGATAATGGCCAGGCTGTCTTCTAAAGGGCCATGCTCTGCTTTCCTCTGGATCACTCTTCCCTTCAGGGACAGTATTTCCAGCCTAGTCTTGTGATTTGTATTATCTCAGAGGGATTCGGTGAGAGACCTCGGGGTGTTGCTGAGACTAAGAGCACCCCCTCCCACCCCCTCTTCTGCCTTAATGGTGGCTCTTGGGAGCTGCTAAGCCGGGATCTAGAATCACTTTGGTCTTGAGTGAATTTCTGTGCTATACTCGGGGAGACTTTGGGGGAGGGAGGGACTTTGATGCAAAAAACAAAAACAACCGGAATAATCCTTATTAAAGCTCTATTTTGAAATCACGTTGGGTCTCCTGCTTGGCTTTCTTGATCTCAGACCAGCCCTGGATCTGCCTTTCCGCCTTCCCCCCATATGACGGGCATGGAGGTCTGATCTCTGTCCAGGTTGGTCCCTTTCCTCCAAGATGCCTCTGGTGCCAACCAAGTGATGTGCTCCTGTGGGCTTGGGAACAAGGCGCTGGGACACCCTTTCTTGGCCAAGTCTGGCTCTGTAGGCTTGCAGTCTAATTACTAGATAGAAAATAGGGTTGACACACCGCTTCCAGCTGATAGTTGCAGCTCACAGCCACTGTTCTTCCATTAAAACCAGAAGGTTGCCTCGCACCCGGGAAATCACAGGTCTGGACCCAACCCCGCCCCCCCCAAAAAAAGCCAACATCTATGTAATGGTTTTATGATTTGCAGAGTGCTTTATTTCACGGAATCCTCTGAGCTAGGTGCCGCACATTTCTGTTTTATTTTCCTTTTAAGTAATTTGCCTAGGGTTACATACCTAGCAAGTATCTGAGGCTGGATTTGAACTCAGGTCTTCCTGACTCCAGGCTGCCAAACCAGCGCTTCTAGTACTGGCCTGTGATGTGAAGTGAGGATTCCTTGTATTGTGTTTTACTAACACTAAACCTAATAGCCGTAGAAAGTCAGAGGTAGGAGAGACCTTAGAATAATTCCATTCCCAGCCCCGTCCCCTCATTGTAATGAGAGAGAAACAGGCAGGCGCAGGGGAGTGGGAAAGAATGACTCCCCTAGGTCACATAGCTTCGTGCCAGAGCCCAAGGCTTCAGAAACCCAATGCTCTTTTCCTCCCATGCCACAGAGAACAACGGGTCATCTCAATGTCCCCAGCAGATGGCACTGCCCACCCTGGGCACACACCAACTGTCTGTTCCTATCTCAGGATTCTGAGCTGAAGAGGGCCTTTGAGATCATCTGGGGCCAACCCACTCATCTTACAGATGAGGAAACTGAGGCAAACAGGATTAAGTGACTTGCCCAGGGTCACACAGCTAGTAAGTGTCTGAGGCCAGATTTAAACTCATGAAGATGAGTCTTCCAGACTCCAGGCCTGGTGCTCGGTGCACTGTGGCGCCACCTAGCTGCCCCATTAGCTCTGTGACCTTGAGCAAATAGTCTGGCTAAGTCCCTGACTTTGAATCTCATCTGTCAAATGGGCATCACAATCCCTATATGGTGGAGTTCTTTTGTGAGGGCTAGTTAGCCATTTCACAGTGTTTCACAGTAAGCGTCTACTATGTGCCAGCCTTTGCAGTAAGTGCTGGGGATGCAAAGAAAAGCAAAAAACAGTCTAATGGGAGAGATAACGTCGAAACTACCACGTACGAGCAAACTAGAGACCAGTTAGATTGGAGAAAATCAGCAGAGGGAAAGCGCTAGAATTAAGAGGGATTGGGAAAGGCAAGGTGGATTTGAGTGAACAAGGAAGTTGGGGAAGCCCAGACACAGAGGTGAGGACCAAATAAGAGAATGAGGAAAAAAGTGCTTTGTAAATTCTCAAGTAATGAGCCCTCAGATCAGGCTTGCCATAGACTTTGCAAAGTCCACATGTACCAGGGACAAGACCCTGTATGTATCAAGGCTTTTGCAATCCCTGTGCAGGGGTGAGATGTACCTCTTAGGTATTCCCAACCTCCTCCTGTGAAGACTAGACCTTATTCATACTTTCACACCAGGTTCAGAGGATATCAGAGCATATGTTTCTTCATAAATTACTAAAAATGCAAACTCTTTTCTCCTTAATTGACCAGTTTGCTCTGAGCCCCCACCATGGTTTATAAAAACTGGAGAAATCTCTTAAGCTTTCTCTCCTCTCTCAGTCTGAAACGCCAGTCTCATAGGCTTAGATAAACATCAGTGTACTGGCTATATAATTAATGAACAGAAACAAAGAATACAAAGGCACAAATAAATACGAGAAAGGTCACAACCACAGCCATGTCCAGCCAACAACCTCAACTTCTAGCTTCTCGTTACAGTTATATCAAGAAGGTACTTAGTGTCTCTTCAGGACCTACTCGTAAGATGTCTTCTCCAAAGAATAATGGTTAAATTTAGTCCTTTTAAACTATCTCTAGACCAGGAATGGGTCCTTTACCTGGGGTCCATGAACTTTAAAAAAAAAAATTTTGATAACTATATTTCATAATTATTTTCCTTTGCAATTCTAAGTATTTATTTTGTGCATTTGAAAACATCAGTTGGAGAAGGTGTCTGCAGGCATTTCTAGACTGCAAGAGGGGTCCGTGATACAAAAATTGTCCAAAGCCCTGCATAAATGACTGTCTACCAAAGATAACATTTAACTCTCACAGTCTCTCACAGACTCTTTCTCCAAGACAGTTGATTCTTCAAGACTCCTCAGAAAAGAATTTCTCTTCATGTTCCAGACTGAAAATTAACTTTTAGTCCTCCAGAATTTTATGCTTCCTCTTTGAAAAATAAAAATATGTCCAGAATCTTTTCAAGAGGGGCTGCTTACACTGGGGTTGCACGTGATTGTCTCCAATCTACAGCTGAGGGGAACAACATATAATGAAACATATCTCCTTCCTCTCCTCAGAGAAGTGGGAGGCTGTGGGTGTGAGATGTTGCATATATTGTCATGGATTTGAACTTCAAAAATCACCTAGTCCAATTCTGTCCCTTGACAGATGAGAAAAATAACAAGGGCCAGAGAGAATAGGGGTTACACATAGTTAGTGACAGAATGAGGATTCGAACTCAAGTCCTCTGAATCCCAGGTTGGTGTGCTTTCCATTCCACCAGGTTGCTTAACGGGGTTTTAATTTCTTTGTTGTTAAAAGCTGTTACTGTGGTAGGTGTGTGTGTGTGTATGTGTGTGTGTATTGTATATATTTTAATAAGTCACTGCTGTTTCCCCCATTAGAATGTAAGCTTCTGGAGGGTAGAGATTGTCTCCTTCTTTGTATTGGCATTCCTAGAGGCTAGCACTGGCCCTGGAACATAGTAGGCTCAATATAAGTTGATTGATTGCATGACGTAATAAAATAGGCTGTGCCCTGCTGAGGCTTGTGTTCTATATCAAGGAAAACACGTAAATAAATACAAATTATGCACAACATAATTTCTAGGGAGAGGGGATAAGAAGGGCAGTTTGTTAATAATAGAACTCTATCTTCAAAGGGCACCACAGAAGGGTAAGAAGGCATTGGATGGGAACCTGATTGATGGGGATATCATTGGGTGGCTATGGACTCCATATCATACTCTGAGGATCAGGAAAGGAAGCTTGCCCTGGGCAGCCCAAGGCTCAGATTCACAGGGATTCTGAGTGGAGCCATTGGGCAGATTATCATGCCCTCCACTGTAGCAAAGATCATGTTGACTTCTCTCTGGGCCTCAGTTTTCCTCCTTGGTAAAATGAGGGCCAAGGAGCCGCTAGGTGGCGCAAGGGAAAGAGTATTGGGCTTAGAGTCAGGAAGAATTCAAGTTCAAATCTAGCCTCAGAGAGTTTCTAGCTGTGTGAGCTTGGGCAAGTCACTTAACCTGTGTTTGCCCCCGGAAAAGGAAATGACAGATCACTCCAGTATCTTTGCCAAGAAAACTCATGGACAGTAGTAGCACGCGATGGTCCACGGGGTCACAAAGAGTCAGACATGACCAAAATAACTGAACAACAACAAAATATTGAGGGCATTGGACCAGATCATCTATAAGGTTCCTTCTTGCTCTAAATCTTTTGATTCTAGAGGTCTGCAAACCCCTTTTGGGGTGAAAGGAAGGAAGGAAGAGAAAGAAAGGAAGGAAGAAAGAAAAGAAAGAAAGAAAGAAAGAGAAAGAAAGAAAGAAAAAGAAAGAAAGAAAAAGAAAGAAAGAAAAGAAAGAGAAAAGAAAAGAAAGAAAAATTCTTCAATGAAATTGGCCCCAGGGAAGGTGGAGGTGGAGAATGACTTTGTCCCCAGCCCCGGGCTTGACCTGCCCCAGTGGAAACTGGGATCGAGTGGCCAAACTTCTCATCCCCAGAACCTGGGGATGCTAAAGGGAACTTAATCCCCATAGAGTTCTCAGGAGTCAGGAAAGTTGCTGTGTCTATGGAAACCGAATGTGGCAGGGCTTAGTACCTGGGCTGAAGTTTCAGCCACCCCTGAGAATTCCTCAAGAACCCATTGAAGCCATTTAAAAGGGAAGCTGGAAGGGTGTGGCCTCTTGCCCTGCCCCTCAAACAAAGACCAACACACAGAGAGGGCCCAGCTCTGGGTCTGGCCCAGCTGAGTCGGTAGACAAACAAATCTTTCCTTGTTTTAGGCCTTTTCCCATCCCCCACTGGGAGGAGTGGTAAGCCAGGGAGACAACTGGTGAGAACTGGTAGGTGAAGGAGCTGTATTACTGGCTAGAAATACTATTTAAATTGTTGGGGGCAAAATTGTCTCTGTGGGCAAATCATCGTTCCTCTCTCAGCCTCAGTTTCTCCATCTGTAATATGAAAAGGTTGGATTGGATGAAGTCTTAAGCCCCTTCCCAGAGGCTGTGATATCTTGGTAGGGGAGGATTTCACGGATGTGGGGAATTCCCAGGTGAGAAACCTCTCTCCATCGATTCAGATTAGCACCTTTTTTTGGGGGGGGTGAGGCAATTGGGGTTAAGTGACTTGCTCGAGTCACACAGCTAGTGAGTGTTATGTGTCTGAGGTTGGATTTGAACTCAGGTCTTCCTGACTCCAGGGCCTATGCTCTATCCACTGTGCCACCTAGGTGCCCCTTAGATTAGCACCTTTGTCTGTGATGTCTGGTCTTGCAGAGAAACTGAGGGCCCCGAGAGGTTAAGTCACTTCCCCAGGGTCACACAGTCAGTCTGTAGTAGAGGTGGGATGGAAGGCCCATCTTTTCCACTTCCAAACCAGCTCCATATCCACTCTTCCATGTGGCCAGCCATTCTTAAACCATAAGAAGCACAAATAGAAAGGATTCGGAGAAGCTTAGGAAGACATAAGATCTGATGCAAAATGAAGTAAACAGACTCAGGAAAACA